ATTCATTTTTACATTTTTAAATTGTGAGGGGGAAAATCAAAACAAGATGAAGAATATTTTGTGATATGCAAAAACTATATGAAATTCAAATTTCAGTGTCCATAAATAAGGTTTTATTGGAACACAGTCACACTTATTTATTTACATATTGTCTAGTGCAGCTTTCAAGCTACAACAAGAGTTAAGTAGTTACAACAGAGTCTGTACGGCCAGCAAAGCCTAAAATATTTACTATCTGGAAATGTGCTGACTTTTGCTCTACCCAGCAGCAAGAATGGTCTTTTTAACACAAGTGTAATCATGTCACTCCCATGGTTAAAACTTTTTGTCTAAGTCGATGGGGTATGGATGGGCCAGAACTAAAGGCTGAAGGGTGTTGGGGTCAGGTGATGAATAATACCCGGGAGTGATGAGTTACATTTTTCTCTCTTCTTCTGTATGCTCCTACATTTTAGATAATAAAATGGCTTTTAAAAAAGAAAAGCCTTCAGTTGCTTTTTATTGTTGTTAGGATAAAGAGTACTTCAACATGGCCTCTAGGCCCGCACATGGTCTATTTCATACTCACCCTCCAACGTAGTTGGAGTAGGAATAAAGCCCAGCAGACATATGTCTCCTCATATTCATGACAAAGGATTCAAAATTGGTAACATTGTAGGATAAATGCAGTGCTTTGAAGACATATATCTATGATATATGACTCTAGCTTGATTTGGCTAAAATAATTCCCTGTTTTATTGGTAGCCCATGGAACAAGGAGCTCATGATTTCTTTTCTTCTATTGTCAGTCTCTCTCCATTACCTCACCCCCTCCTCACTCATCTAGTCTACGTTTCAGCCTCATCCCTCCTCTGAAACAGCTCTTGCCAAAGTCACCAATGGCCTCTGTTTCACTGATCCAATAAACACCTTCAGTCTAGTCTTCCTCAACCTTCTAGAACCACTTAGCTGTTGCTTATTCCTCCCTTTCAAAACACCCTTTTCTCTTGACTTATATGACAAAGCTCTTACCATTCTTCTCCTACCTCCCTGATTACTTCCTGGTATCCTTTGAAGGCTCATTTTTCTTCACCAGCCTTCACAGGTTGAAGGTCCTGTAGTCTCAGTCCTAGCCATTTCCTCTTTTCACTGACTACCTTCCCTTCTTCCTTAGAAAGTTGTCTTCACAGTCTTAAACCTCATCTACACACATCTCTCTCTCTTTTTTTATCTTTTTTTTTAAGAGATGGAGTCTTGCTCTGTTCCTGGGCTGGAGTGCAGTGGTGCTGTCATAGTTCACTGCAGCCCCAAACTCCTGGAATCAAGCAAGACTCCTACCTCAGCCTCCTGAGTCTGGAACTACAGGTGCGCACCATCACGTATGGCTAATTTTTAACTTTTTAATTTTTAATGTTTATGTATTTATTTATTTTTTTAGACAGAGTTTCACTCTTATTGTCCAGGCTGGAGTGCAATGGCAAGATCTCAGCTCACTGCAACCTCCGCCTCCCGGGTTCAAGCCATTCTCTTGCCTCAGCCTCCCTAGTAGCTGGGATTACAAGCATGCGCCACTATGCCAGACTAATTTTGTATTTTTAGCAGAGACGGAGTTTCTCCATGCTGGTCAGGCTGGTCTCGAACTCCCGACCTCAGGTGATCTGCCCGCCTCAGCCTCCCAAAGTGCTGGGATTACAGGCGTGAGCCACTGCTCCCAGACTATCTTCATATTTTTTTATAGCTGCAGGATCTCACTGTGTTGTCCAAGCTGGTCTCAAATTCCTGGCCTCAAGCAATTCTCCTGGCTTGACCTCTCAAAGTACTGAGATTATAGGTATAAGCCACTATGCCTGGCTAATTTTTTATATTTTCAACCTAGGCTGCTTCTCTAGGCTCTAGAACTGTACTGTCAAATGCAAAAATCACTAGCCAACATATAGCTGTTGGGCACTTGAAATGTGGCTAGTGCCACTGAGAAACTAAATCTTTTATTTTAGGTTAAATGTAAATAGCCACATGTGAGTAATGGCTAAAATACTCAGCAGTGTAGGTACAGAACACCTCCATCCTCACAGAAAGCTCTATTGAATAGTGCCGAATTTCCGTATCAACATGTCTCAACTCAGCGTGTCTAAAACCAAGGGATAGTTTTTATTCCCAATCCTGGTTCTCATCTAGTACTTCCTATCTCAGTGTATGCCACGAGTGTTCTTCCATTTTCTCAAGCCACAAACCTGAGAATCATGTTTGACCTTATTTCTCCCTCATCTCTAAGATCTATTCAATCATCAAGCTCTATTCATTCCTTCTCCTCAATATCTCATCAAACTCTCTTTCTTCCTTGACTACAGCCATGCCATTTAAGCTACCATCATTTCTCATAAATCTGATCACAAGAAAGCACTGCTTGATGTCCTTCCTTAACTCTGCCTCCAAGCCCTTGAATGCCTGTCTCTGCCCGTCCTTCAGTGGTACCAGGTACCATGGTCCTCTCCTTCTGTGAGACTCAGCCACACCATCTTTTTCAGTTTCCCTTTTGCCCTTCATGCTTCCTTTAGCACATGCTGTAGCATAACTCCAAGGACCTCACCTTCACCATGTGTCACCACTGTATTCACTGTATTCATTACACTGGTTCGGGTCATTCAATTAATGTCAGTCTCTCCCACAATACTATATTTAGCATGGATTCTTCAGTACTTAAAACAGTGCTCAGTCCATAATAGTAGAATGAATAAATACATTAATTAATTAAAGAGTGACTAAATAAATGATTTATTCATTTGTCTGTAGCTTACATGATTCGAGTCAGTGTTTTGTACATTTCCCTGTTCTATGGCCATAGATTATATCTGTCACCCCAAATAGCCATCTCATAAATGCCTACAAAAAGTTCTGATTGAATGAGAGTGAAAGGATCTATGGAATGTAAATCTCTTGCTGAAATACAGACCTAAAGTGCTTGCCCTCCTGATGATTGGCCAGTGGTGTTGTCTTTCGTAAACAACTATATTTATGAGGCCAGGCAGTGGCTCGTACCTGTAATACCAGCACTCTGGAAGGCCGAGGCAGGTGGATCACTTGAGGTTAGGAGTTTGAGACCAGCCTGGCCAACATGGTGAAACCCCATCTTTACTGAAAATACACTGGCCGGGTGCAGTAGATCACTCCTGTAATCCCAGCACTTTGGGAGACCCAGGCGGGTGGATCACCTGAGGTCAATAGTTCAAGACAAGCATGGCCAACATGGCAAAACCTTGTCTCTACTAAAAATACAAAAATTAGCTGGGCGTGGTTGTGGCTGCCTATAATCCTAGCTACTCAGGAGGCTGAGAAAGGAGAATTGCTTGAACCCGGGAGGCAGAGGTTGCAGTGAGTGGAGATTGTGCCATTGCACTCCAGTCTGGGCAACAGAGTGAGACTCTGTCTTAAAATAAATTTAAAAATACAAATACAAATACAAAAATTAGCTGGGCGTGGTGGTGAGCACCTGTTAACTCAGCTATTTGGTGGCTGAGACAGGAGAATCGCTTAAACCCAGAAGGCGGAAACGGCAGTGAGCCAAGATGGTGCCATTGTACTCCAGCCTGGGCAAAAGAGTGAGACTCTGAGACTTTAGAAAGAAAAATTAAGGCTTCTCTATTGACAAGCAGGAGAATTTTAACCTGAAATACTGAAAATAGGCTTCCAAGTGCCAAGAACTCACAAAGGCCCAGTGGCCACCAACAAAGTCTGTTGCAGCTTCCGTTCTCCCCCTTGCAAAGGGGCTTTATTCTACTATAAGGAATGTACATGTATTTATTCTTGGTCTTCTCTTAAACACACAATGTCAGATAAGAATCATTTTTAAATCATTTTTAAACTTGGGATTTATTCAAGTAATTTTCAAGAATGCCTATGAAAAGCACACTGATTTTACAGATACATGGCCTAAGTTCCTTTGAGGAAAGGACCAGTTCTTAAAGTTCTTAGTATTCCCTTTAGCCTAGCACCCAATGTTTGACTCTCAATTACTAAATGAATATAATTGTGTTGCTGCCACAAAAGTTTTTCTCTGAATAGCTAAAGATAAATAATTAGAAAAGGAAAAACTTTTCTAATTGTTTATTAGAAAAGTGGCTCGTGCTTGTAATCCCAGCACTTTGGGAGGCTGAGGTGGGCAGACTGCCTGAGGTCAGGAGTTCAAGACCAGTCTGGCCGACATGGTGAAACCCTGTCTCTACTAAAAATACAAAAAAAAAAAAAAAAAAAAAATAGCTGGGCGTGGTGGTGTGCACCTGTAATCCCAGCTATTCGGGAGGCTGAGACGGGGTAATTGCTTGAATCAGGGAAGTGGAGGTTGCAGTGAACCAAAATCACACGACTATATCCAGCCTGGGTGACAGAGTGAGACTCATCTCAAAAAAAAAAGAAAGAATAACTAACTAGATGATTTTATATCATCATTTAAACCCTACTTATGAGGAATCCATAACTCACTTCTAATAACTGTTATATGTGACATTTAAGTTTGTTATTAATTGACAGTTGAGAATATTTCACTCCACCCCCTATTGTTGCCCAATGTAGATTAATTGAGGAAGAGTAACATTTTTTTGTATTTTATTAGGCAAGTTCAGAGAGCCGCCCAAGAGTAACATTTCTAAAAGTCTTTGTCAAACTCTTTTTTTATTGCTCTAGTTAAGGCCCAGAGGGAGCTTTTAAAAGGTCAGCAGAGAAAGTAAATTTAGGAGACTACAAAACTGAAAAAGGAGAGTAGTATCTACTTAGAGAGAATTTTCACTTCAAACTGATGAGTCCTCACACTGTAACCACTGAAGATGTTTTTTCTTAAAGTAGTTGTTTTCTGAAATCTATTTTCTTTTTTTTTTTTTTTTTTTGAGATCTGAAGTGATTTTACCTTTATTTCCTTCACTTTTAGCCAATCGTGAAATTTCACAGTGATTTCTGGGGTGGGAGCAGAAGGGAGGCGATGTTAAGAATTATTGGGGCTGTGGCTGGTCAACCTGCAGAGGTGGAGGCACTCACTGGGGCAGCTGGAGGAGCACGGACTGCCCCGCCGGCAGATAGGTGATGTTCCAAGAGTGTGAGAGCTGGCACGTGATGTCCTCGGCAGCTTCCTGCTCGATCAGACCATTCCCTGCGATGGCCAGTGAGTTGGCAATCAGCTCAGCTGCCTTGGAGTCGCCCTCAGCAGAGATGATGGCCACCTTTTTCTGTTGCTCAGCCTTTTCCACCGGAAATCTGGCCCTCTCTACTTCCTGCTGAGCCACCTGTTTGGCTTCCACCGCTTCTGTGAACTCCTTCCCGAAGGTCAGATATGTCAAGGACACGTCGTCCAGGATAAGCCCAAAGGTGGCTGCTCGTTCCGTAAGGTCATCGCTCACCTACCTGGAGACCAGCTCTCTCTGGGTGATTAGTTCTCCAGCATCAAAGCAAGCCACCACTGACTTGAGAATGTTGGTTGTGATGGACAGAAGCACACGCTCATCATAGTCCTCTCCTATGCTGGTGAAGATGCGAGGAAGCTGGCTAGCAATGGGCCGGAAGAGGATGCGCAGTATGATGTTGACATTCTGTAAATCTTTGCTACCAGTGATGACTGACACATTACCTGGTCGAGAACGGCAGTCAAAGATAATTGGTTTTCGTACCCAGGGGATGAGAAAGTGAGTCCATTCCCCTTCCACAATGTCCTGTACTCCATGGGATCCATCAATGATGACAACTCTGTGCCCAGCATCCATATTATATAAAGCAGAGTTCACCAAGCCTCCTGCAAGAGCTAAGGCCAGGACAAAATTGCTGATGGACTCAAACACTTTGGCAGCCATGTTTTCTTCTGCTGGACCCTCTCACACCTGCTTCCACTCTGACCTCCACATGAATTCCCCAACCACACATACCCCGAAATCTATTTTCAAATATACATCACATTTACCACATCTAATAGAATAAATATGAAATTGAAAAAAGTAATCAAAGTATGCTTATACAAAATAACTGACTATAGTTCTCCCTGTGCATTTAAATATGCATTTAGCCCAGCATGGTGGCATGCGCTTATAGTCCCAGCTACAAAAATAAATAAATAAACATGCTTTTCTTTACCCCTGATTATCAATTTACATTAAAGTTTTCAATTTAATTCAATAAACACGACTGAATGTCTGTTATGATCCAGTCACTGTCTGGGGCACATCTATGTGAAATGAAGTACACATAAAATTGAAGGCATTTGGCCAGGTGTGGAGGCTCACTCCTGTAATTCCAGTACTTTGTGAGGCTGCAGCAGGTGGATCACCTGAGGTCAGAAGTTCAAGACCAGCCTGGCCAACATGGTGAAACCCCATCTCTACTAAAAATACAAAAATTAGCCAGGTATGGTGGCACAAACCTGTAGTACCAGCTACTCGGGAGGCTGAGGCAGGAGAATTGCTTGAACCTGGGAGGCAGAGGTTGCAGTGAGCCAAGATAGCCTGGCCAACAGGGCAAACTCTGTCTCAAAAAAAGTAAAATAAAATAAAATAAAATTAAGTAAAGAAAGCATTATTTTAAGAACCTATAGGAAGAAAATATTTTCTTGCCTATTCGTGAAATTGGTACTTTTGTTCCTCATTTTATGAATGAGGAACTTGAGGCCTGCAGAGAAGCCAAGTAACTTGTCTGAAGCCTCCCAGTTGGTAAGTGGCAGAAGCTAGAATTTGAACCCAGATGCATTGAGTCCAGAGTCTACATTCTTAATCCCTGTGCTATTCCCCCTTTACCACTGTTCTATTCTTCAATACTTCTATACTGTGTACGAGAGAAGGCAAGGGGCTAGCTGGTGGGGATACAAAAGTAAGTAAATCAAAGCACATGCAGTCTAGCAGAGGAAAACGTACCTACGAGCACATGACTGAAATCAAATGCACTGGTGCTCTGGCTGAAGTCCACACAAGGGATAGTCACCTTATCCCCTGACCCTCCCAGGACGAGATAGTCAGGAAAGCCCTCATTGGGAGGAGGGCTGATTAACTGAGTCCAAAATATGAGCTCACCATCTTTGGTTGGTTCAGTTGGTGTATTTTCTATTTCGCCTATTTGAAGCCTTGATTTACTAGGAAAAATTTTTATTTCGTTGAAACTAAGTTTTATTGTCTACTATATCCATAGCAATATGAAATATACAAATAAGACATCATCTGTGCTCTAGAGGAGCTTATATACTCAGGAGAGGGGAAATGCAGGCAGAAATAATAATAACTATGTCCACTATTTATAGCACAATTACTACATGTCAGGCATCATGCTAAGCCCTTTACAAACATTTCCTCATATTATCTTCATTAACCCTGTAGGAAAGTACTATTATCTCTATTTTATGGATAAACTAAAGCTTGGAGATGCTAACTTACTGACTGATTCAACAGATAACTTTCTAAAAACCTGCTATGTATGTGCTGGGTACAATTCTAAACTTTAGGGATACTGTGGTGAAAAAGGTAAGTTCCTCCTGACCTGCCCTGCTCTCTAGATGTTTTTATTCTTTTTTTTTTTTTTAGACGGGATCTCACTCCATCACCCAGGCTGGAGTGCAGTGGCACGATCACAGTTCACTGCAGCCTCAACCTCCCCTGGTTTAGGTGATCCTCTCACCTCAACCTCCGGAGTAGCTGGGACTACAAGTGCATGCCACCATGCCCAGCTAATATTTTGGTATTTTTTTGTAGAGATAAGATTTGGCCACGTTGCCCAGGCTGGTCTCAAACTCTGGGGCTCAAGCTGTCCGCCTACCTCGGCTTCCAAAAGTGCTAGGATTATAGGTGTGAGCCACCGTGCCCAGATTAGAAGTTTTTATTCTAATTGGGGAAGACAGATGATAAACAAGTAAATAAGATAAATGCTATGAAGACACTAAAATAAGATGGTGCAGTAGTGACTGAGGTGGGGCATTTTAGAAATAATAGTGAGGAAAGTTCTATCCAAAGAGATGACATTTGAACTGAGATCTGAGTGACAAGAAGAAACTATCCTCAGAAGACCTGAATGAAAAGGGTCTCAGGCAGAGAGACGAGCAAATGCAAAAATCCTGGAAAAGTGAGCTTGGCGTGCTGGAGAGGCAGAAGAAAGGCCAGAATGGCTAGAGCAGAGGGCTTCACCCCAAATCACACAACTCATAAATAGCAGAGATGATTCAGATCTGTGCCTGTCTAAGGTGAAAACCACTATGTAATATTGCCTAAAGAAACAAATAGAATGTTCTATGCATTGTCATCACTGGGTGTGTTTTTAGGTTAACCTGAGCAATATCCAAAGGCAAGGGAACATATGGAATCAAAAGTCGAAAGAGAGGAAACTCTTGCAAACAGAAAGGCTTCCTCTAAAACAGGAGATACAAAGACAAATAAGGCATTGTATGCATGAGCTGTATCAAACCCCGCTTCATCAAACCCTGGTCTTAATCTCAAACCATTATGCATCCTCGATTCTTATCTTAGACTGGAATCCCTGGCAGGGTTGATGGAATGCATCTCTGATACTTCAGATTAGAAGTTCAAATAAGCTTAATCTAAAAATTTCTTCCTGCTTCTCCCAGGTGCCAGCAGAGAGCTATTCAGTCTGAAGGGTTCACTCTTCTGGTGGCTCCAAGAGAAGAGCCATCTGGGCAAGAAGGCAGCAGCCATCTGGGCAAGAAGTTCTGCAGGAGGTGGTGCAGAGCTGGCTAGTCAGGCTGTGATTAAACTGGTGTGTGACTGGTAAGTTCAGACAGGAGCTGTTACTGAGATAGTAATCATAAGGTAAGTGGCAGAGAACCAAATTGTGGGCAGAGCAGGCTCAAGTTGCCAAGCAAGCTGTCATAGACAAGGAGGGCAGAAAACCTTAGTGAAACATAACACCACAGATGAATCTAAGACAGATCTGTTGTTCTGACACCTAGCTGGGTCAGGGAGCCCATTTTTACTGGAGTCAGCCTGGAGTAGCTCTAGGCTAACTGGGTAGCTCTGCTCCAAAGAAGTCTCAATTTGTGTTAAAAGGTGGGGCCCCTTCCCGTATCCAGACACACAGATTGTCATACTCTAGCTCAACTGGGAGAGGAAGTTTAGCCTAATTTCCCTGCTAATAGTTGGCATTAAAGAAGGTGCTTTTTCAGAGTGTGGTCTGTATGTTCTGCCTGCCTGATCTGTGGGTGGTAGGCAAAGGTGCACATCTACTCTGAGATCTATAAAGGCAGCTCTTCTGAAAAATGGGCTGAATTATCAACCGCATTCTTTCATGATGTGATTAGAAAAAAAACCACGTGTAGCAGTAATAGGAACTACCTTTGATTTTTAAGTTCCATGACAGATCTTGAAAGTATACAACATATAATATCTTATTAAATCTCACAGCAACCGTATGAAATTGATACTATTAATATTCCCAGTTTACAGACAAAGAAATTTGAACTTAGATAAGTAACTTATACAAGGGGTACAAATGAGAAGCAGTAACAGGTCACTCTAATGCAAAAGCCTGTATTCTTCATTTTTTAAATCAACTTTATTGAGGTATAATTTACATACAAAGTAATGCACGTATCTTAAATGTATAGTTATTTGAGTTTTGACAAATGTATACACCCTTGCAAATACAAACAGATCAAGTTATATAGCATTTCCTTCATCCTCATACCCCTTTGTATTAGTCTTCCCTACACTGACAACCACAGATCTGCTTTCTGATGCCAGAGAGTACTTTTCCATGTTCCAGAACATCGTATGAATAAAACGACATAGTATGTACTCTTTCGTCTTGCTCTTCTTTTGTTCAGCATAACGTTTTTGTTGTTGTTGTTATATTTTTGGGGGAATTATAATCTGAAATACTTGTACCCTACACAGATAAGTATCTGTTTCTCAAAGAGATATTTCAATTTTGAGTCTCTTTTTTTTTTTTTTTTAAAGACGGAGTTTCACTCTTGTTGCCCAGGCTGGAGTGCAATGGCACCATCTCGGTTCACCGCAACCTCTGCCTCCTGGATTCAAGCGGTTCTCCTGCCTCAGCCTCCCGAGTAGTTGGGATTACAGGCATGTGCCACCACGCCCGGCTAATTTTGTATTTTCAGTAGAAATAGGATTTCTCCATGTTGGCTAGGCTGGTCTCGCACTCCTGACCTCAGGTGATCCGCCCACCTCAGCCTCCCAAAGTGCTGGGATTACAGGCATGAGCCACCGCACCCGGCCTGAGTCTCATTTTTATATACAATTTTAAAAGTCACATGAAGAAGATCAAACCTTGCTTGTATTGTGCAAAGCAGAATTGCCATCTGTTTGCCTCTTACAGTGTTATATTTTTTAAGTGTGTAAGGGGTTTCCCAAGCTTTACTAGGTATAGCTGACAAATACAATTATATATATTTAAGATATACGACATGCTTTGATATACATATAAATGGTAAACTGATTACCATGATCAAGTTAGTTAACACACCCATTACTTCACATAATTACCATTTGTGTATGTGTGGTGAGAACATTTAAGACTTACTCTCTTAGCAAATTTCACTAGTCAGCATAATCTTTTGAGATTCATTCATGTTATGGCATATATCAGTAATTCATTTCTATTATTGCTAAATAACTTTCCACTATTTACATGTACCACGATTTTTGTACCCATTCACCTACAGAGAGATATTTGAGTTGTTTCCTATTTCTCTGACTATTGTGAATAAACCTGCTATGAACATTTATGTACAAGCCTTTCTATGAACACATGTTTCCACTTTTTCCTTTTTTTTTTTTTTTTGAGACAGGGTCTCACTCTGGCACCCATGCTGGAGTGCAGTGGCATGATCTCAGCTCACTGCAACCTCCGCCTCCTAGGTTCAAGCGATTCTCCCACCTCAGCCTCCCCAGTAGCTGGGACTATAGGCACCCACCACCACGCCCAGCTAATTTTTGTATTTTTTGGTAGAGTCAGGGGTTTCACCACGTTGGCCAGGCTGGTTTCAAACTCCTGACCTCAGGGGTTTGATCCACCCACCTTGGCCTCCCAAAGTGCTGGGAGCCACTGCACCCGACCTGTTTTCACTTTTCTTTGATATATATCTAGTAATAGAATTGGTGGGTGTATGTTTACCTTTATTTTAAAAATTGGCAGACTTTTCCAAGACGGTTGTACTGTTTCATATTCCCACCAGCAATGTACAAAAGAGTACCAGTGTGCCACATATTTGAGAACACTTGATATTGTCTGATAACTTGTGATAAGCATCTTTTCATATGCTTATTGGCCATCTGTATTTTTTTGTGAAGTATCTCTCCAAATTTAAGACCATCTTTAATTGAATTATTTATTATTGAGTTGTAAGAATTTTTTATAGATTCTGGGAAAATGTTCTTTAAGAAACATGTGTATTGAGAACATTTTCTCCCAAAGGTGCATTGCTTTCATTTTCTTTTTTTAAATTAATTAATTTATTTTTTAATTTTTTAAATTTTACTTTCAGTTTTTGGATACATGTGCAGAACATGCAGGTTTGTTAACATAGGTATACATGTGCCATGGTGGTTTGCTGCACCAATCAACCCGTCATCTAAGTTTTGTTTTTTTGTTTTTTGTTTTTTGTTTTTTTTAAGGTGTGCACTTTTATTCAACTGGTCTCAAGTCAGTGTACAGGTAAGCCCCGGCTGCCTCCACCTACTCCCAGGGAGACCAAAAGCCTTCATACATCTCAAGTTGGGGGACAAAAAAGGGGGGCCACAAAGGCTGATCATTCAAAATAAAACAAAATAAAAAAGCGTTGAGGCAAAGATTTAAAAAATTTTGCATTACATAATTTACATCAGAGCAATTCTATCACTTCCCCTGTGTGGACGTAGGAGAGGACTGGGTCATTCTCCTTAGAGAGAAGTGGGGTGGCTTTTAGGAGGGCAAGGAACTTCCTGTAACAATTCATCTTACAATATTTGGAATGACTATTTAAAAAAAAAAAAAAGAACAACGTACAATCAAAGTCCTTGACCACATTGTAGAACTCTAGGGGATGCTCACTCCAACCGACTGCTGTCACCTTCACCGTTCCAGGTTTTAAATCCTGAGTCAAGCCAAAAAAAAAAGAAACAAACAAACAAAAAAACAAATAAAGCCATGCCAATTTCATATTGTTTTCTGTGCAAGTTAGGTTTTGTCAAGAAAGGGTGTAATGTAACTAAGTCACAGTCTGCACAGGAGCATTTGCAGTGGGCGATTATGGGGCCAGATTCATCATACTCCTGCTTGCTGATCCATATCTGCTGGAAGGCGGACAGAGAGGCCAGGATAGAGGTGCCGATCCACACGGAGTACTTGCACTCAGGAGGAGCAATGATCTTGATCTTCATCGTGCTGGGCACCAGGGCTAAGTGATCTCCTTCTGCATCCTGTCCGCAATGGCCAGGGTACATGGTGGTGCCGCCAGACAGCACTGTGTTGATGTACAGGTCTTTGCAGATGTCTACATCACACTTCATGATGGAGTTGAAGGTAGTTTCACGGATGCCACAGGATTCCATGCCCAGGAAGGAAGGCTGGAAGAGCGCCTCGGGACAGTGGAACCGCTCATTGCCGTTGGTGATGACCTGGCCATCAGGCAGCTCGTAGCTTCCACCTTTTGCCCACTCAGTATAATATTGGCTATGGGTTTGTAACAAATAGCTCTTATTATTTTGACATATGTTCCATCAATACGTAGTTTATTGAGAGTTTTTTGCATGAAGTCATGTTGAATTTTATCGAAGGCCTTTTCTGCATCTATTGACATAATCATGTGGTTTTTGTCATTGGTTCTGCTTATGTGATTGATTACGTTTATTGATTTGCATATGTTGAACCAACCTTGCATCCTGGGGATGAAGCAGAGTTGATCGTTGTGGATAAGCTTTGAATGTGCTGCTGGATTTGATTTACCAGTATTTTATTGAGGATTTTTGCATTGATGTTCATCAGGGATATTGGCCTGAAAATTTTGTTTTCGTGTGTGTGTGTGTGTGTGTGTGTGTGTGTGTCTCAGGTTTTGGTATCAGGATGATGTTGGCCTCGTAAAGTGAGTCAAGAAGGAGTCCTTTTTCTATTGATTGGAATAGTTTCCGAAGGAATGGTACCAGCTCCTCTTTGTACCTCTGGTAGAATTCAGCTATGAATCCTTCTGTTCCTGGGCTTTTTTTGTTTTGGTAGGCTATTAATTACTTTCTCAATTTCAGAACTTGTTATTGGTCTATTCAGGGATTCAACTTCTTCCTGGTTTAGTCTTGGGAGGGATTTCTTCTAGATTTTCTAGTTTATTTGCATAGAGGTGTTTATAGTATTCTCTGATGGTGGTTGTATTTCTGTGGGATCAGTGGTGATATGCCCTTTATCATTTTTTATTGTGTCTATTTGATTCTTCTGTCTTTTCTTCTTTATTAGTGTAGCTAGTGGTCTATCTATTTTGTTAAATTTTTCAAAAAACCATCTCCTGGATTCATTGATTTTTTGAAGGATTTTTCGTGTCTCTATCTCCTTCAGTTCTGATCTGATCTTAGTTATTTCTTGTCTCCTGCTAGCTTTTGAATTTGTTTGCTCTTGCTTCTCTAGTTTTTTTTTTTTTTTAAACAGAGTATTGCTCTGTCCCAGGCTGGAGTGCAATGGTGGGATCTCGGCTCACTGCAACGTCTGCCTCCCAGGATCAAGCTATTCTCCTGCTCAGCCTTCCAAGTAGCTGGGACTACAGTCACCCACCATCACATCCAACTAATTTTTATATTTTTAGTACAGATGGGATTTCACCATGTTGGCCAGGCTGGCCTCGAACTCCTGACCTCATGATCCACCCACCTCAGCCTCCCAAAGTACTGGGATTACAGGTGTGAGCCACCACACCTGGTGGCTTCTTTAGTTCTTTTAATTGTGATGTTAGGGTGTCAATTTCAGATCTTTCCAGCTTCCCGATGTGGGCATTTAGTGCTGTAAATTTCCCTCTAAACTCTGCATTAACTGTGTCCCAGATATTCTGGTACATTGTCTCTTTGTTCTCATTGGTCTCAAAGAACTTCTTTATTTCTTCCTTAATTTTGTTGTTTACCCAGAAGCCATTCAGGAGCAGGCTGTTCAACTTCCATGTAGTTGTGCGGTTTTGAGTAAGTCTCTTTTTTTTTTTTCCTTTTAAAACATATTTATTTAATGTACAGAATTGGAAAAAGGACTTCTTGATAATAAACATATTTCATGTAAACATAAGCTTTCAGTGTCTATGAATATTTCTTTGCAAATACACCCTAAGTTACTTCTTCTCTACATAAAGGAGAAACTCCAAGTTCTGCTCTTTAGGAAGACATGGAGGGCTAGCAACACCTTAGGAGCAGCCATTGCTATTTCTCCCCTTTCCTTGGGTGACCTAACATTTTACAGGGACTAATGACATAAAGAAATATTAGATTCCATTGAGTTTAAACACAAATTTCCCACTGAGGGAATTAAATGTTTGATGCTTGTGAGTGTGAATAAATAATTAAATATTAGGTATAAGGCAGATTCTGAAACCAACTGAAGTATGAAAATAAATTGGCATAGATACCTAACAGTCAGTAAAATTAAATTTCACTACTGAGTATGCTATATGCTTCCTTCTCTATTCCAGTGGGTTCTCTTTTTTTGTCTAAGGTCTTCTCCAGCAGGACTCTAAGACAGTAAATTGCTTAACATCACCAGGTTTTTTTTGTCAGATTTATTTTGGAAATAAACCAACTTCTTTTTTATTAAAGACCAAGGTTGTCTTTTTTGCTACACGCTTCTTTCCACTACATATTGACTCCCTGATGTAAGAAAATTTACAGGGTGAGAGAAAGTACTCTATGTTGGCTGTCCCACAGTGTAATGACTGGTTAATAAAAAAGCCACTCAGCCTGGGCAATATAGTGAGGCCTCGTTTCTGCAAAAACAATTAGCAAGGCATGGTGACATGCACCTGTGGTCCTAGCTACTTGGGAGGCTGAGGCAGGAGGATCACTTGAGCCCAGGACACAGAGGCTGCAGTGAGCCAAGACTGTGTCACTGAACTCTACTCTAATCTGCGTAACAGAAGGGGACTTTGCCTCAAAAATAACAGTAATACTAAAGGAGCCACCCATTTAATCCTTTGCTCATCTGGTCTCATCCAAAGAGTAAGTCAAAATCATCAAGGTCACAAAGAACTTATGACCGAGGTGTAACTCTGCAAATATCTTTAACTGGCCATGGCTTCTTCATTTGATCCCTTCCCACTCATTAGAAGACTCTAAGGAACAGATGCTGCAGCCTAGTTCAAAGTAGTACACACATACCTCAGGAAAGTGGACCAAAAAAGAGGAAGACACAGAATACAAGAAAGAGTTGACAAAGCAAATCTAATAAAAAGTATGGTTGGTTTGAACAGTCATTGGTATAAATTCCTTATGATTCTACTTTTTGACAGGCTCCTCCTTTTGACTACTGAGCAATTAAGATATTTTCAGTCATTTCGATTCCTTTTCCACACTGTCTCTAATGTTCTGTAGTTTTCTGGAGTTCTGAACCAGGGACACTAAACTCTCCCTAAAATCACTGGTCCCATGATCTCTGACAACATTTTGAAGCTCATCAAAGAAAGTCAACGTCTGTTTGAGTTTGGCCTGAACAATTTTTTGCTCTTCTAATTCTGCAAGAGGGGCCTGCTTAATACATAATTCAGTCTTGTACTTCTCCTGTAACTGTTCAAAATCTTTCTGGAGACGCTGAAAATCTTCCTCACTATAAGGTATCTCCTTACATTTATCTTCAGGAAGCAAGATGTTTGAGGGAATACGTAAAATCAGCTGCAAAAACAGTTGCTCCATTTTGCTAAAAAGGTTATCAAAATGTCCTTTCATGAAGCAAAGAAACTTCTCGGTACATTTGCGAATCTGCACTGGGCTAATGTCACAGTCTGGGATGCCATCCAGCTTCTTCAGAATAACCTGTTCAACGGCCTGCATCACTTCAAATAGGTAGTCTTGAAATGCAATGTAGATTCGAAGCATGCACGTTTGTGGCATGAAGCCAAAGAACTGGGCCTCATAGGTCATTGGATTCACAGACATCTTGGCTTATTTTGCTGTTACTTTCAGGTGTGAAAAACCGGAGCGACCATGAGGGTCACGAAGTCGAGCACACACAGGCTTCCCACCACCTCCTTTAAACCGCCACTGGCTTGCCAGAGACAGACGGCGCGGCTGGCTCCTCAAAATTCCGACTGATATGCGCCTCAGTGAGCGAAAGTCTTGAGTAAGTTTCTTAATCCTAAATTCAAATTTGATTGCACTATGGTCTGATAGACTGTTATGATTTCCATTCTTTTGCATTTGCTGAGGAGTCCTTTACTTCCAAGTATGCGCCCAGTTTAAGAATAAGTGCCATGTGGCACTAAGAAGAATGTATATTCTCTTGATTTAGGGTGGAGAGTTCTGTAGATATCTATTAGGTCCGCAGCTGAGTTCAAGTCCTGAATATCCTTGTTAATTTTCTGTCTCATTGATCTGTCTAATATTGACATTGGGGTGTTAAAGTCCCCCACTATTATTGTCTGGGAACCTGAGTATCTTTGTAGGTCTCTAAGAACTTGTTTTACAAATCTGGGTGCTCCTGTATTGGATGCATATATATTTAGGATAGTTAACTCTTCTTGTTGCATTGATCCCTTTACCATTATGTGATGCCCTTCTTTGTCTTTTTTGATCTTTGTTGGTTTAAAGTCTGTTTTATCAAAGACTAGGATTGCAACCTACTTGCAAGCAAGAAAAAAAAAATTGCTTTTTTTTGCTTCTTGGTAAATATTCCTTCATCCCTTTATTTTGAGCCTATGTGTGTCTTTGAACATAAGATGGGTCTCTTGAATATAGCACACTGATGGGTCTTGACTTTTTATCCAATTTGCCAGTCTGTGTCTTTTAATTGGGGCATTTAGCACATTTACATTTAAGGTCAATATTGTTATGTGTGAATTTGATGCTGTCATCATGATGCTAGCTGGTTATTTTGCACATTAGTAGATGCAGTTCCTTCATAGTGTCAATAGTCTTATATTTCGGTGTGTTTTTGCAGTGGCTGTTACCGGTTTTTCCTTTCCATATTTAGTGCTTCCTTCAGGAGTTCTTGTAAGTCAGGCCTGGTGGTGACAAAATCCCTCAGCATTTCCTTGTCTGGAAAGGGTTTTATTTCTCCTTTGCTTTTGAAGCTTAGTTTGGCTGGATATGAAATTCTGGGCTGAAAAATTCTTTTCTTTAAGAATGTTGAATATTGGCCCCCACTCTCTTCTGGCTTGTAGGGTTTCTGCAGAGAGATCCACTGTTAGTCTGATGGGCTTCCCTTTGTAGGTGACCTGGCCTTTCTCTCTGGCTGCCCTTAACATATTTTCCTTCATTTCAACCTTGGAGAATCTGATGATTATGTGCCTTGGGGTTGATCTTCTTGAGGAGTATTTTAGTGGTGTTCTCTGTATTTCCTGAATTTGAATGTTGGCCTGTCTTTCTAGGTTGGGGAAGTTCTCCTGGATAATATCATGAAATGTGTTTTCCAACTTGATTCCATTCTCCCTGTCACTTTCAGGTACACCAATCAATCATAGGTTTAGTCTTTTCACATAGTCCCATATTTCTTGAAGGCTTTGTTCATTCTTTTTCATTCTTTTTTCTCTAATCTTGTCTTCATGCCTTTTTTCAGCAAGGTGGTCTTCAATCTCTGATATCCTTTCTTCTGCTTGATTGATTCAGCTATTGATACTTGTGTATGCTTCCTGAAGTTCTCATGTTGTTTTGCTTTTTGGTTTTTTTGTTTGTTTGTTTTTTAGCTTCATCAAGTTATTTATGTTCCTCTCTAAACTGGTTATTCTAGTTAGCAGTTCCTGTAACCTTTTATCAAGGTTCTTAGCTTCCTTGCATTGGGTTAGAACATGCTCCTTTAGATCAGAGGAGTTTGTTATCACCCACCTTCTGAAGCCTGCCTCTGTCAGTTTGTTAATCTTATTCTCCATCCAGTTTTATGCCCTTACTGGAGAGGCATTCTGGTTTTTGGAATTTTCAGCATTTTTGCACTGATTTTTCCTCATCTTCATGGATTTATCTACCTTTGATCTTTGAGGCTGATGACCTTTGGATGGGGTTTTTGTGTGGGGGTCCTTTTTGTTGATGTTGTTGTTGCTTTCTGTTTGTTGGTTTTTCTTCTAACAGTCAGGCCCCTCTTCTGCAGGTCTGCTGCAGTTTGCTGGAGGTCCACTCCAGACCCTGTTTGCCTGGAAGCCTGCAGAACATCAAAGATTGCAGCCTGCTCCTTCCTCTGGAAGCTTCATCCCAGAGGGACACCAGCCTGATGCCAGCCAGAGCTCTCCTGTATGAGGTATCTGTTGACCCCTGGTGGGAGGTTTAATGTGTAGCTTCAGCACATCTTTAACTGTCTAGTCAGCATTGGGGTCAGTTACCCACCTGAGGAGTCAGTCTGTCCCTTAGCAGAGCTGGTGTGCTGTGCTGGGAGAATCCCCCTTGTCAGGATCAGCTGCTGTCTTCAGAGCCAGCAGGCAGGAAAGATTAAATCCGCTGAAGCTGTGCCCACAGCAGCCCCTCCCCCCAGGTGCTCTGTCCCAGGGAGATGAGCGTTTCATCTGTAAGCCCCTGACTAGGGCTGCTACATTTCCTTCAGAGATGCCCTGACCAGTGAGGAGAAATCTAGATAAGCACTCTGGCCACAGTCGCTTTGCCGCACTATGGCAAATTCCGCCCAGTCCACACCTCTCCGTCTCCTTAGCACTGTCAGGGAAGAACGGCCTACTAAAGCCTTGGTAATCGCAGATGCCCCTCCTCCCACCAAGCTCAATCATCCTAGGTCGACCAGACTGCTGTGCTGGCAGCAAGAATTTCAAGTCAGTTGTTCTTAGCTTGCTGGGCTCCATGGGAGTGGAACCTGCTGAGTGAAACCACTTGGCTCCCTGGCTTCAGCTCCCTTTCAAGGGGAGTGAATGGTTCTGTCTTGCTGGGGTTCCAGGTGCCACTAGGGTATGAACAAACTCCTGCAGCTAGCTGGGTGCCTGTCCAAACAGCCACCTAGTTTTGTGCTTGAAACTCAGGGCCCTGGTGGTGTAGGCTCACCAGGAAATCTGATCTGCTGATTGCAAAATCCATGAGAAAAGTGTAGTACCCGGGCGGGTAGCACAATACCTCATGGCTTCCCTTGAGAGGTCCCCTGGCTCCTTGCACTTCCTGGATAAAGCAATGCCCCACCCTGCTTCTGCTCGCTCTCCATGGGTTGCACCCACTGCCTAAACAGTCCCAGTGAGATGAACTGGGTACTTCAGTTGGAAATGCAGAAATCACCCCCTTCTGCATTGGTCCCACCGGGAGCTGCAGACTGGAGCTGTTTCTATTCAACCTTCTTGCCCCTCCCCTTCATTTTCTTAACAGTGTCATTCAAAGGGGAGACATTCTAATTTTGATGAAGTTAAATTTACCATTTTTTTCTTTTTTGTGCTGTGCTTTTTGCATTCTAAGAAATCTTGCTTAACCCAAGGTTTCATTTTCTCCCATTTTCTAGCACTTTCATATTATAATTTTAGGTCCATGATCCATTTTTAGTTTTTTTTTTAATGAACAAGTGTAACTCTTTTTTAAGATAGAATTGTTCTTATTCAAGAAATAGATTAAAATGGTTAAGTACAATTAAATGGCTCCAAAAGTCTTACAATGAAAACAACAGTCCTGCCAGTTGTTCTTTCCAGAGGCAAACACTTTTCATTCTCTTAGTTTTTCCTTCTGTTAGTTACCTTCATGGGTTTTTCCAAATTGTTATTTTTTTAGTTTTTCAAGTGAATGCATATATTAATACATAAAATTTTAAAAAATCTCTTCAGTTTATAATGCATCCTAACAGTCCCCTGCCCCATCCCTCCTAATTCTCCAGAGTAATGACTTCCAGCAATGTCTTCTGTTTTTTTCCTCACATAACTATAGTCATTTCTTAATTATTTTATACATTATATAGTGATTTCTGGATATAACAGGTGAGGATTTAGCTCTTACACCATCACTATCTTCACTTCCTCCCATATTGTCCCAAAGTGGTTACCATATTTAGGGGCTAAGCAGTCACCACATCATTATGACTGTGTATGTATTGCTCCTTGTTGAGAAAAACAGCGTATTGTGCTCTTCCTATCCTGTACTTCTTTCTGCCCTAGAATTAATGATTGCCTAACCAACCCTTTCCCCTTATTTTTTTACTTCTGCTTTATCTCCAATGAACTTCTTTCCAAATGCCCCAAATTTGGCAATAACTTATTATTTTTAAGAGAAGGGATCTCCCTAAGGTAGCCAGGCTGGTCTGGAACTCTTGGGCTCAAGCCATCCTCTTGCTGAGCCTCCTGAGTAGCTGGGACTACAGGCATGGGCCATTCCACCCAGCTAACCTATTAATATTTTTACTGTTTCTTTTTAAAGTCAGCTCCATAGCTGGAATATTGCCTGTGTTGGATCCTATTTGCTGGATCTATGTCATTCTCTGGTTTGTGTACTCCTTCCCTTTGCTGGAGTATTTTCTCCAATAGCTTCTCAAAAAAGGGTACATGGAGGTAACCCCTGAGTCTTTGCTTGTCTAAAAATGTATTTTACCTTCACCTTTGATTATTTGGGTGAATATAGATTTATCAGTCGAAAATAACTTTCTAGAATTCTGAAGGCATGATTCCATTGTTTTCAGATTCCTTTTCAAGACAAGGTCTCTTCTGTCACCCAGGCTGGAGTGCAGTGGCACAATTACGACTCACTGCAGCCTTGGACTCATGGGCTCAATTGATCCTTCCATCTCAGCTCCCTGAGTAGACGGGAATACAGGTGTGCACCACAATGCCCAGCTAATTTTTGTGTTTTTTGTAGACATGGGGCTTTGCCATGTTGCCCAAGCTGGTCTCAAGTGATCCACCTGCCTTGGCCTCCCAAAGTGCTAGGATTACAGGTGTGAGCCACTGGGCCCAGCTAGTTTTTCTTTTATTCTCTCTCTACTTCCTTCATTTCTCAAAGGCATCTCAAACTCAGTGGGCCCAAAACCAAAGTCAAACTCC